CTCTGTGTATCTCTGTCTCTGTCTGTCTGCCTCTGTCTCTCTCCCCCCATCTCTCATGTCTCTGTCTTTGCTGTGCAAACTCTTTCCACCTGATGATCCAATGACCCCAGAAAGGGTTCTTCCCATGGGCTCTGGCACTAAAGGCTGGGGTGGCAGTGCCTGGAGGGCCTTCATCCTATGCTCCTCGGTGACCTGGACAGAGGAAAGGAGAGAGCCTCCTAAGTGACCTGGAGAGCAGCTCCAGTGACCAGCTGCCCCCGGGGCCCTGGGGGATGAGGGTGGAGCAGGGCCATGGACTCCAGGGCAGGACTCAGATCACCTCACATGACAACAAGATCAGCCCCGACTGCTGCAGAAATGCCTCATGATTGTGGAAATATGACTCTAAGTGAATGGCCTATGCTGGTGAAAAGGTCTTATAGACAAAAGAATGGTCTGCTCCTAAAGAGGATCAAAGGACCACGTAATCGGTGGAGACAGCAGGAGCTCTTAAAGTGATGCTCTCCAAACAGCATCACAGGGGAGGGGAGGGGTGTTCCCCCCAGACTCAGGACTAAGACCCCAGTGCTTCCCCGGGAACGGGCCCCCGGTCCCCATCTGGCCTGGGGTCAGCTTGGGCTCTAAGATAAGACAAGGTCCCAATGGTGAACGGTGAGCAGCCAGAGGGAGGCTGCTCGGGAGGACTCAGTTTTCTGCCCTTTGGACCTGTGACCAGACTCCATCCTCTGTCCTCGGCTGTGGCCTGGTCAGTCACCAGACTCATGAGTTCCCTAAACTGTATGCTACATTCAGGGTGTTGTGTGTGTGTATATATGCACATTCGGGTAGAGGAAGACATCTGTGTCTTATATGGGAATCTTAGAAGTTTTACACCCAAAAACGTTCAAAACTTGGGCTACGTGCTGGCATTGCCAATCACACACGCATGGTCCATGTGTGCCCGTCTGCGAATTGCAAAAGCACTGTTGTTTATAGCTTTGGTTTTGGATATTTCAGCATGTTTGCCCTTGAATGCTGGCCATGAAGCACTTTGATTCTGATACAGAAGTAAGGGAGCTTTGAGAACTTGTCATCAAATTCAAATTCAAACATGTAAATACCATCAGGGACACAGGACTCTATATAGACCATATGCAAATTGGTATTCAGATTTAGCATCTCACAACTAAAACATAGAATGAACATATTTAACCTGAATGTATGTACTAGTCAGGCTCCTCCAAAGAAGCAGAACCAGTGATATATATATATATATATACATGGGGAGAGAGAAAGAGGACAAATTCACCCTTCCTCAGGCCCTCATCAGGCTGGCTGAGCCTCACACCTCCATGTCAGGGAGGGGATCTGCTTCACTCAATTCACTGATTGAAATGTTAATCTCATTGGAAACATCCTCACCATCCCATCCAGAGACAATGTTTTGCCAGCTATCTGGGCACCCGTGATCCAGCCTAGTTGACACATAAAATTAACCATCACATGGCACACTGCTAAAATCATCATAATTTCCTTTCCTAACTGGGAAATTCCTGTATAACTCATTTTTCAACAGACAGTCCTCTCTCCTATCCTCTGTTTTCTGAAATAACCACAATTACGGAAGTTCCTCTGAAAGAACAGGTCAGTTTCTTCTGTCTTATCAGCACCTGTGCTCTCCTGTTACGAGAGAAGTGTTGGAATTTTGAGGAAGTCTCCATGAATCAACTTTCACCAACACAGGAGAAGGAAATAGTTGTGCTGTGAGAGGGTCCAGTGCACATCACCGATGACGTTTCCTGGAGGGGTTAAAACTTTTAATGGCCACCTACTTTGCAGAAATAATGAGACGGGCTTTCTTTCCATTTTTTTTGGAAAGTGTTTAAATATTGACTTTAATTGGTTCAGGACAACATGATTCTGCGTCAAGGTCTTGGAGGGCATCCAACTTGTTAATATATAATTTAAAGTGTAGCTGCTAGATATAAAGCAGAATTATTTCTCAGTTTGGACAAAGACACTGAAAGACAACTGGCGGGTGGGGGGAGTCGAAGGCGGTGTTTCCTTGTTTAGCAAGCGGTTGCATTTGTTCTTGGGCTCTGTAAAGTCTAGGGAAGAAAGACAGCGAAGATGAGGCACCAGGAAAAGGGGAGATGGTTATGGAGCTGTGGTTGTAGATTAGCTCAACGTCAGCTCAGGGCTTGGGACGGAAGGAAACTGTCAAGATGAGGGGTCAGATGAGACTTTGGACCCCGGCGGATACCTTGTTGCAGCTTCTGAGACAAGGAGTAGAGCGTCCAGCAAAGCCCTGGGACGATATTCCTGTGATGTAAATGGGTGCTCATATAAGCCACAAAAGCTCGGGGTAATTTTTTTAGGCAGCAATGGAGAACTAAGGCACGTGGCATGTCCTGTTGGAGGTAAACTGTACCCTCCACATGCCTTGCAATTCTCCCTCTTGTATCAGAGAAGCCTCTTCTAAGGCCGAAGTTAAAACAAACAAACAAACAACCCCACCACCAGTTGAAGAACTACTAAAATACATGTACTGCAAAAGAAAAAGAAGGGAGAGATGGCCACATCTTTCCATAGCTGCTGCAGCCATCTGTATTTTACACCCTGATAGACTGAGCGATGGGTCAGAGCTCATGGGCCTAACTGGAAACAATAAGGAATTACCTGTCTGAACCACAATGCCGCCTCAGCTTTTGCAAAACAGACATAACCTTGGAGGTCTGACAACTCTAAATTTTATTGTTTTTAATGAAGTATAATATTTTATTCCAAAAACAATACTTGTTCATAGGAGAAAAAGACAATACCTATAATAATAAGAAGAAATGAAATTAAAATATCTAAATTTATTTACATCTAAATTTACGTGTGCGCGCACACACACACACACACACACACAGACACACACACACACACAGGTTCAAGGTATTTCTGACCCTGCTTCTTCATTTATTAATATATCCTGAATATACTTCCATGTAAATGGATATTTATCTTCATAACCATACCAGCAATAGAAAACTACTCATATATTTGTATCAAAATTTACTTAACCCATTATTTGGACTCTTAGTTTGTATCTATTGTTTTCCATATGACAGACAACTCGATGACAAATGGCCAATCCTCTAAATTACAAAAGTATCAATTTTATAAGAAGATAAAGGCCTTTTGGCTAAAATAAAATTCAGTGTGCACCAACTTTGGAAAGTGTAGAATGCCCTAGAAAGGGATGGATGATTCTACAGCACAAATCCTGGGCCGGGAACACCTCTGGGCGGAGCTGCACAGCCTGGCGCCACTCTCCTGCACCGGGAGAGTGAAGGGCACCCTGGGGACACCTTCAAGATGCCCAGTATCTTCTCAGCATCACTTGCTCAGGCTCAACCCGTTAGAACAGGTGCTCTCAGGTTCTGCAGTCATCAGAATGCGTTGGAACTTGTTAAAAATACACCTTTTCTGGCAGCACTCCCAGAAACTGGACTTCCGTGGTTCTGGTGGAGAGCGAAAAACCAGGCCAGGCGATTCAGATGACCACGGGTGTTTAGAAGTTGCTCCATTACCTCCGGCCCAGGGCAGAGATCAGATCTCTGGCCTTGTCCACAACGGGTATTTGTTCATCTATTGCAATACATTTTTGATGCTCAGAGGGATGAACAGGAGGATAAGGCAAGAAAGAGCCCGGCTTAAGTGCGCGCACCCCCTCCCCCTCCTCTGTCCAGGGTGGCCCGCAGTAAACAGCTGTCAGCCGACCACAGGCTGCTCCGGGTGGACGGGACAGCCTTGACTTAACCTATTTTCCCTCTGTATCCACCTGACGCACATCCGTCGCGCAGGTAGTAGGGGATACTGTGCCGTCCCCACCAGGAACTGCTGATGCGGCTGCTTATGAAACTCTTTCCTGGGGATGACCCTACCCCAAGCTCAGCGCTGTGTGCGCCGCAAGACTGCGCCCGGAGAAGCATCCGTCCGCACATCCGCGGCTGGAAACCAGCCTAGATTAAGCTCCCGGAAGAGTCGGCTTCTTGTTCATCCATCACCCAATGGACTGGACGTGAGCGCCTCAGTCCCGGAGCTCCCAGCGGAGCTGCGAGCATCTGGCTGGCGACACAGGACACTGCGGTTTCCTTCGTAAGCACTCGGGTCTTATCGCCCCGCCAGGACTTTCCTGCCCTTCTCCCGCCCCTTCCATTCTCAGCACCCGGCCTGGCGCCAGGTGTCGCCAGGGTCCCCGCGCGTCCTCTACGGCCACGTTCCTTCTCCTCCTCATGCGGCCAGAGCCTCTCTGGGGACGGAACCGGCGCTTCGTAGTCGCCAGCCAGCGACGCCCACGTTCGCCCACCGACTGGAGGATCTGCTGGTGTGTCCTTCCTCCCTCACCTCAGGCCTGAGGAAAAGCTGGGGTGCCCGCGGCTCCGAACGCCGCCCCCAGAAGGAATCTTGCGGGAATGGGCGTGCGCCTGCGACGGTTCGGTCCCCCCAACTACCGCGGGCCCGGCGCTCCCACCTGCGGCGCTCCGCACAACCCCCCCCCCCGTTTACTGCGCTCCCCGCGCGTGATGCTGCCACGCTCCCACAACTACGGTGAGCCAGCCCACCTGTAGCGCCCCGCCTTCCCCCTACTCCCCCCACCTGCTGCGCTCCCCAAAGATGCTCCCACCCAACTGCTGTGCTTTCCCCCTGCCTGCCGCACTTCCCCCTCTCGATGCTCCTCCCACCTTCGCTGCACACCCTCCTAGGGTGCTTTCCCCTCCCCCACCAGGGATGCTCCGCCCACCTGCGGTGATTTCCCCACCCACCTGCGGTGCTTCTCCTTCCCTCTGAGGTGCTTCCGGCTCGTAACGCTCCTCCCACCTGCGATGCAACCCCCCCCCAAGTGGTGCTCCCTCCAGGCCAAGCTCCCTGGCCCGCGCGGCTCCCTGAAAGCTGGCGCCCCCGATCCCGCCTGCCCCGCCTACCCGCGCCCCTGAGCCCGCCCTTGGCCGCCCATTGGCGCGCGCCGCGCGGGCGGGGCCGGCGGTTCCAGTGGCGGCGGCGCGGGAGGGGCGCAGTGCCTGCTGAGCACCCTCCCGAGCGCGATCTCCGGCCTGCTCGCCATGGGCGACCACGACGTCTCCCCGAACCCCAAGGGCTCCTTCCGAAAGTTCCTGGAGCAACTCTCCGGGGCCGGCAAAGCCATAGGCGTGCTGACCAGCGGCGGGGATGCCCAAGGTGCGCCACCGCCTTCCCGGGTCCCGGGCCGGAGGCGAAGGGAGGGGACTAGGGAGAAGGGATGTGGGGGTAACCGGGAGAAAGGATGGGGGTACCTGGGAGAAAGGATGGGGGTACCTGGGAGAAAGGATGGGGGTACCGGGGAGAAAGGATGGGGAGCAGGGACCAGAGAGAAAGGATGAGGCTCCAGGGAGAAGAGATGGGGGAAGCAAAGAGAAGAGAGGAGGAGAGCGGGTACCGGGGATAAGAGAAGGGTGGGGGAGAAGCCCCGCGCCCAGGAACCTCGGGGGTACCTTCCTGTGGCGGGAGCGGGTGCGGGCCGTGCAGCCTCAGAAGGAGTCACTGCGGAGTCGGTGGCGGGGGGGAGGGAGGGCTATGGCAGTAGGATCCCTTACCAGGAAGGTCAATTTTCCACCTTCACGTTTATTTTTTAAATTGCGACTGGCTACGGGGTCGCCTGGACCACGCTCGGTGGTCATTTCTCTTCCGAGTCGTAGGATGAAGCTGGACGCCCCTCCAAATCTTGGCTACAGCGCGGCCACTTCCGATGCCGCGGCGCCCTCCCCAGCTCCGTCACCCACTCCCTACCCCCAATGTCTTGGAAAAATCCGCTGGGTCCCTGCGACGCGTCGGCAGCCTCGCGACCCCCGCGCGGCGCGGGCGGCGTCCCCGCTGCTGTCCGGCGGGACGAGGCGGGGGAGGCACGGGGGTCCCTGCCCGGGGTTGCCCGGCGGCCCGGCACCACCTCGCGTTTCCGCTGGGAAATTTTAAAAACGGTTCTCCTCCGCTCTAATCTCTTGTCCCCTTCCGGCTCGTCACCAAACTGAAAGCTGAAATGGGTCACTGGGCCCTCCCCGCCAGCCTCCCCTGGATGGGAAGGAACAGGAAGCGGGGACTCCGGGGCGTCACCAGCCCCGCAAGCGCGGACTCCAGCAACCGCCCCTCACCCCCAAGCGTGGAAGCTGATTTCGGGGAGAAGGGGACCCAGGCTCGGTACCCACGGACACACGAAGAGAATATTTCAATGTAAAGCGAGGGTGACACAGACGTGCCCCGGGTCCCTAGCGCTGGGCGCACATGGGGACGCAGGGGTTCCCAGACGCTGGGGTTTCCTGATCCCGGTGAATACCTGGGTGGGGCGACCCAACCGCTAGAAAGTAGCAGGGCTGTGCTCAGGCGGCTGCGTCCTTGGAGCCTGAGGATCGCAGGCCGGAGACGCCTCTCGAGCTAGGTTTTGGTTTTTATTTTACCTTCTTCCTCCTGTCGCGGATGAGTTGAAAGGCCCTGATGCCTCATTTTCACCACACACGGTGCAGGGATGCTTAAGTGTTGGGCCCGGCGCCCTCGCCTGCCGCCCACCCTGCCCGTGACCTTCCCTTCGCCCTTGAGCCGGGCGGGGCCTGGGGGGTGCGGCAGGTGGGGCGCTGAGGCTGCAGCCTCGCCCGCCGCGGGCGCGTACGTGATGCCTGGCCAGTCACCGCCCGTGCGCCCCGCGCCCTCGACCCTGGGCACCCCGCCTGCGGCGGGCAGGAGGCATGGGGGTCCCCGGCACGTGGGTCCCTTGGAAGCCCCCCCCTGTCCTACTGAAGGTGGCGCTCGCGACATCAGTCACTGCCGAAGCCCCACAAGCCTGCCTTTGCGTCAGCGCGAGGCAGGGCTAGTCTAATTTGGTATTCTAGTAAAGTGGCCCCTGGTATAAACATTGAAGAGAGAAAATGTTGTGATATAAACAAGGCTGGGGTTGGGGAAGTGGCGGAGCGAAATAGATGACATCGCCCAAGTTACTTAAATGATGTGCCGGATGGGGTCTGGCGGGGTCGGGGTGGGGCTGAGAGAAGCTTCCCCGTCAAAGGGCTTCAAAAGCACGTGCCTCTGGAGAAGTGGGCTAGCCCAAATAAGGAAGCATCTTAAGTGACTCTTACCCCGGTCTTGGAAAGAGAATAAATTGTTGGCACAGGAAGAGGAACTGGTCTCTTAACCCTCCAGGCTTCAAGGTCAGAGTTTCAAGGTCATTTTAGAATTAAGGTGCTCTGTCTGTTGAAAAAAATATAGGTCACTCTTTTGAGTTCCTGTCCAAAAGTCTTCTCAACTACCTGGTAGCTGGTGCAAAGGCAACTGAGGTAATGATGCAATAGACAGAACCAGCATTTTTTTCTGCTACTGATACTTAACCTGCTACTTATCTCTGCAACTTGTGAGCAGTTATGAATAATAGAGGTCAGTAAGTCCACACCTCTTCTTGTCAGTGGAAAAGATACTTTGAGAATCAAAATTATATGAGAACGTGGCTTGGTCAGTGTATTGTCAGGTTAATGGGAGGTCGCCTGATGCTCTGAACTGACACATCTGGGCCGTCCCTGGAGAGCCGACCATGGCCAGGCATCTGGGCATTTTCCCTCAGGCAGAGCTGAGGCTGTAGTCTCCATTTCTTCTTGGACTTCATGCCAAGAGCCACCTCCTCTTTTGATCCTACCTGAGACGTGACTGAACAGTTGAATGCATTTCTTTCCAAGAAAGTTCACCTTAAGATGTGCACCCAGGGGCCGGTCTCGGCAGGCAGCAGCAGACTTACAGCCCCTTGGAGGAGGTTATTCCTAGAGATGCTGTCATTTATACCCCTGTCCTTTTACCATCTTATCTTGACTCTAAATGGTATCAGTGCTTGATTTTCCCTGGGATAAGAGAGTTTTGCTCGCAGCTAATAAAGACCAAGGAGAATAATCACAAGTCTTAATTTCAGGATAGTTTTCTAATCAGATGTGAAATTATGGTAAAATTTCATGTTGAGATGACTATAGCTTCTAGTTATTGAGCTCACTTGATGTTCTAGGAGCTTTATGGTTCTTATCTCCAGGCCTGATTACCTGGCTCCAAGACACACACATCTTCATTTCAGAGGTGACAAGAGAGGCTCAAGGGGAGAGAAGTAACCTCATTAAGGTGGCAGGCTTATAGGTGGCCCATGGTAGGATTTAAATGAAGTTCTGTGAGGTCTCAACCCCAAACACTTTTCAGTAAGCCCTGCTTTTACAGTTGTAACAACTAATTAATACTCAGAGGAGCAAAGCCTGGTTTGCTCAAAAGTATACAGATGACTTTTTTTCATAACACCAGAATTTTATCTGGTAAGGCAGGTGGCATTTTCTTTCCATTTTTCAGATTAAAAAATCAAGAAGTATTTAAATAATTTGCCCCAAATCAAATATTTTTTTAATCAAATTAGAGACAAAAACCTTAAAATCTTTTAAAAACTCAAGTGGAATTTAAGATTGTGCTTTACAAATTACATTGGAAAACAGGACCACTGTGTGAAATTCCTCATACTAAAAATACATAAACTATTTAATTTGTATAAAATGCCTTAATGATTTCTTCACTAAGTTAATGAAGAGGTAAATTATAATCATCTAAAACAAATAATGAACCTAAAATTTCAGATAGATATTTAAACATGAGACAATAGCTACCCTACTTACTAGTCAAAAGAAATGGAAGATATTACATAGATTATACAGATGATTTTTACACAGCTTTGATAACAGAAAACGCGTTTGTACAGTAAGAGCATTGGGGTGGCTAAATTGATGTAACACCTGATACCAAAGTGATGAAATGCTTGTTTTCCAGTGGAATTTGTATAATATGATTATTGAACAAAATGAAAATCCCCCAGCTATATTCCTGAATCCCCCAGCCCTGGCCATTAAGGAAGACTATTTCTAAGACTAATTATTGTTTTTTTCATTCTTTGGGTTGCTTCCATTGTCACAAGGAATGTCTGCAAGTTTAAATTGATTTTCACTTTAACTAAAAATAAGTGCCAGGTCACTGGACAGACTTACCATGACTAGGTATCCACCCCCAAGCAACACTATGTCATACGCCAAAAATGACTCATTGCCTTAGACACAAATTGAGGGCTTCTGGAGGGCCTGGTGCAGCTGAGAATGCACAGAAATGGACCCAGAGGGTAGTCTGAACAGGAAAGCTGCGTCCTGTTTGGCCTGTGGCAAAGTAAGCATGAAGACATTGTTTGCAGAAAGCTCATATAGATGGAGTCTGTATAAGCCTTTCCACTAATAGGAAGAATTAGCCATAGGAAAGAATCAAATAATGCCATTTGCAGCAACATGGATGGACCTAGAGAGTAGCATACTAAGTACAGTAAGTCAGACAGAAAAAGACAAATATCATATGATATCACTCATATGCGGAATTAATTTTTTTTAAAAAATGACATAAATGAACTTATTTGCAAAACAGAAACAGACTCAGATTTAGAAAACAAACTTATGGTGACCAAAGGGGAAACGTGGAGGCGGGGGGAGGGATAAATTAGGAGTTTGGGATTAACACACTACTATATATAAAATAGAGAACCAACAGGAACCTGCTGTATAGCACGGGGAACTCTACTCAATACTCTGTAATAACCTATATGGGAAAAAGAATCTGAAAAAGAACGGATATATGTATATGTATAACTGATACACTTTTCTGTACACCTGAAACTAACACAACATTGTAAATCAACTATACTCCAATAAAATTAAAAAAAAAGAGTGACTAACATCGAGTGAACATTTGCTTAGCAGTAGGCACTAATGCTTCCACACAGTGGCTCATCTGCTTCACGCACGAGCAAGTGAGCTTTGAGATGAACTGGCCAGGCTACAGGCTGCAGTGAGAAGGGGTGGCCCAGGACATATGTCCATTCACCAGGGTGTGCCTCAGCACAGTACGGGGCACTCGGCAGGTACTCAGATGTTTGCTGAATGTCTCCCTCCTGGGATCTCACTGAGTGTGGACCACTTCCTTCTGCGAAATGGTGGGCGACTAGATGTTCTGGCTGTCTTTTCTCATGAAGTCTTTTTTTTTAATATGCTTTATAAAAATTAATTAACTTATTATTTACTTTTGGTTGAATTGGGTCTTTGTTGCTGTGCGTGGGCTTTCTCTAGTTGCAGTGAGCGGGGGCTACTCTTCGTTACGGTGCATGG